GAAAGAAGGCATAACTTTTATTCTCGCTGTAGTATTGTTGTTGCCGCCATGACGTGAAGACGCTGTGTGTTCCGTTGTGAAAGCAAAACTACTTTGTTTGGCCTTTCAAAAGAGGATGATATCCGCTTCGTCGTGCCTACAGCTGATCCGTGCTGGTCGCTGAGGAAATACATCAACTTCACGCTGTGGATCGCCAGATCGGCTTTCACCGTGGACGAAGCAGAGTCAGAAAATAATGTTCTTTTTAGCAACATCATATGACCCCTTTAAGACTCTTTGTCTGAGTGTCTGAGGTTGCAATCATTAGAGGAGAACTGTGCGTCATGACAGAAGTGCAACATTAATATATTTTTTAAACACACATAAACCACATGTGCCATGTCAGTGCGAGAACATGCAAGTATTCTGTATTCTGTTAAATAAGCACAATCCTCTGTGCATACCAAGCTAAAAAGACGAACACTGACAGCAGTGTTTTAAACGCTTAACCAGACAGACCTCCTTGGTCAATCAGCTTCATCAGATATACTGTTCTTGTCAACTAGCTTCACCAGGAAAATGGCTGGTGAACGTTATCTTATGTCCCCACCCACCCCACCCCCCAAAATAAACAAATAATTAAATATACAATATATAAACTTTTTTTTTTTTAAATCAGTATTTCTGTCATATTTTCAAGGGTAAATATCTAAACATCCTTTAAACGGGATACATTTAAGATATTTTGCCTGATTTTATTTTACAAATTGACAAGATTTGATGTCTTGTTTTTATACAAATCTAACCATTTTTGTGAGGTGACTGTTTAAAACGATAAAATGTCAATTTGTTTTACTGCTTTTAGCATAAACCTTAATAAATTTGGTAGATTTCTCTAAAACAAGACCTGAAATGTAATTTTCCTTCTCAAATGAGTGTATCTTGTTTTTAAGATATTCTGTTTTTTCTTTTTTTACTGAAAACAAAACAAGACAAAAATAATGATCAAGAACATTCTATGTGTAATCACCTTGCTACGTGTACTGCGTTAGGCTAACCGAGACTTGTCATTTGCACTTACATATTGTTGCTCTTTTGTTAGTTTTGATTGCTTCTATTGGCCTCATTTGTAAGTTGCTTTGGATAAAAGCATCTGCTAAATTACTAAATGTAAATGTAAATGTAAATATATATATATATTTGCAGTGTAGTATTAATCAGGTTGGATTGGAATGGAAATTTATTCAATGCTACTGGTTTGGCCAATAGTCTGGCTATACATTCTTTAAATTTTGGTTAATATAAGAGCATTTTCTATGACTATAACTGGTCAAGATGGTCTAAGACAGAAGTCTGGTAAAAAAACATACTGGTAAAAAAAAATGTATAGCCTGAATGCACTGTAAGTCGCTTTGGATAAAAGCGTCTGCTAAATGCATAAACGTAAATGTAACTCGAAACAGACGTTAAATCTTGGTGAAATGGTAATGGAACTGTTCCTACCTCTCCCATCATCCATCCCTTTGGTGGTTTTTCCTTTGGCTCCATGGCTCCAGCTGCTGGTATGATGATCAACTCCTCTTCCGGCCCACTCCGGTACATCTGGTGCCCTATTTTTCTTCATCCACGGGGGTCCAAATTTCCGGGGGGCTCTCCGTGTCTCCTTAAATACCCTTCCTAGGAGCCCGAGACCATCAGAGGTAGAGCTCCCACCACCTGTGCCGCCCCCACCTTCAGATATAAGTGGGTCACGGACGCTTCTAGAAGCTCCAGTGGTGGAAGTGTCGCTGGAGAAGCCGGAGTGGAGGAAAACAAGACTGCCAGCAGTGAGGTAGAGGAGGATGAAAGAGAAAAAGCGTACCGGTTTACACCGGAAATAGCGGTGGATCTTCAGCAGCGGTCTGGCCATGATGGGCTCTCGAGCCACACGCATTGGCCTTCGATGTTACACAGGAACATATAAAATCAGAGACAGCACCTTCCTATAACTTCCATTGTCCTACGAGTCCCTTTGAAACACTAAAACGATTCCCAAACCAGGAAACAGTAGTTGTAATGATGACAGTACTGACGCTTAACACAGTTTGTCCATCTGTTAGGGACTTTAAAGTCTGAAGACACTTCCAAAGCTTTCCTCTGTAGCAGTATGCAGGAATGTGTCCGTGTGTCCCGTGTCTTTCTACATCCCCAAAGAGGCAGCGACAGAGGAGAACAGTGCTACCGCAGAGGCCATGTTGTGAAAGACGAGTGGCAGTGAAGACTGAAAGATGATACTGCTGTGGCGACGCTTTCAGTCCTGTTATCAGACTCTCGCTCTCCTGAGGTCTTGTTTCCCACCAAGCTCTCCGTCAATCAAAAGCAGCGCTGATTCACTCCTTACTCAGGCCTCACTCACAGACTGAAAAACACAAAATGACAGATACTGAACAAGAAGTAAATACTGATGAGGTCTCTGTGCAAAGAAAAATACTTTATCTGAAAGCGAGTAAGTTAAAATTCAATAACAGGCTGCAGACGCATTATTCATGACCATCTAAACCATCAAACACAGAAGTAAGAACCTTTTGAGCAATTGGCTTTGTAGAAATTTGCCAACAAGAGACTGTACCAATTTATGCAACAGCTACACTGAAGACAGAGGATGGTCACATTTTATATCCAAAAGTTGTTCAGCTTGAGGACTTTTGTCTTTTCACAGATATCCCCAAAGGCAAGGCTCCTATTTATAATTAAAACGCCCATCTTGTGATTTAATGAACATCTTTAGGACATTAAAAGAGTAATTTAATTTAAAATGGATTTGTTCTTCTGCTGATCTTTTATTTTCTCATAACAATCATTACATCAACACTGCATCACTCAGAGATACACAGTGCCAAAAACTCATTAATTTGCTTCAAAGAATGAAATGACCAAAAAAAGTGTTTCACGGCAGAGGAAATGGAAATAAATCTGTCATAATGATATTGTCACAATGTTACTTCCTAGCATAGCAAAAATTAAACGACTTTACAACCACAGCAAATATAATTTTCTAAATGAGTAGTTTTGTCTCATTTTCCAGTAAAAATATCTAAACAATTTTTAAAACAAGAATAATTCACTTTAGGAAAAAACTGCATATTAAGACTATATGCAGAGAATATACCTTGAAGTCTTTTTCACGCCCAATTAAAACCTTGAAAACATCCAAGCATCCTTAAAACAATTTATATGAGAAGGGGAAAAAAGTCACAGGCCCCTCCCATGACTGTTGACGGACTCTGCTGTTTTAGCATAGACCCTCCCTGAGTGAGCTGTAAACAGTCCACCATTGTTTCGACGCCAGAGCAGGTGTAGACATGAATGTCTCCCAAGCGATTGAGGTGTTTTGTTGTTGTATGTAAGAATGAACATAGCAGTCATCATTTACTCCCGACATCTGAACTGCTAAAGACGCAGTGGATTACTTTTGTTTTTGAAGGGAATGCGTTTATGTCTGCGCAAATCATTTTACTGCAGACTGCTTTCCGAACGAGGGACGATTCAAGGCAGGTTTTGCTTCGTTCGTGATCCAGCTGCACCTCCAGAAGAAGTAGGTCTCACACTTTATATTTTTTTATGATTATTTGCAAATCGCTTTTCCTCTTCCACGGAAGAGAGGGGCGGGGGTGAGCAGAGCTCAATTAGCATTTAAAGAGACATGCACCAAAACGGGTCGCTGTGTACAGAGCTGTTTTGACAAGGTAAAAAGGTTGCTGTTTTATACGACCACTGAGGAATTTTAACCAAAGTATGTTGCAGACAGTTCATGAAGACCCTAAAGAATCATACCAACTTTTGGAAAATGGGCATCCGATGTCCCCTTTAAGGTTCGAGGTTCAAAGTTTATTATAAGCCCAAAGGGTGATTATTGGTGCATAAAATTTTTAAACATATCATACAAAACACACAAACAGCAAAAAGACAGGATGTGTACATTTAATGTGTACATTTGTGAATTTTGTAAAATATCTATCTTTGAGTTAAAAGAATTTACTTTCGAAACAAAACTGTGTTAGATATTAAGACATGTATTCAGAGAATAGATCTTGAATACAAGTTTATTTTTCAAATCCAATTGAACCTTCGCAAAGACCTACCCCCGTTATTTACTGTTGCTATGTCCGACAAGCCATATATCATCACGCAGTGAAAAATACATCATGGAGCAAAGAGGACACTAACAATGTGCCGATAGACAAGACAGAGCAGGTTACTTTTGGTATGAAACAAAGTATCAGCTTTCAAATTTTGTCATTTGTAAGAAATTCAAACAATAAATACTGTTTTGTGCCTCTTTAATGCGTCGTGCAGATTCAAGCAGCATGTGAACCGATCTCTTCCTAATAGTTACAGCACGAAATAAACATGGATGAATATCAGAAAGTATGTTGTCTCAACTGCGGAAAGATGTCAATACACCATTTTCAAGTTCAACTCTACTGACGTTAATCTACTAACTTTTCTGTCTGGTTTGTTTGTGGGACAAAATGGTGTTTTCAGCATTATGATTGGTCAGATCGCCTGTCAGTCAAACTCCCGGTGAAGGGTGCTAAAAGCCTGGTCATTGGACAGTCAGTATAATCCAACCCCTTTTCAGAGTCTGACGTCATGAAGAGAAGAGATGTCGTTGAGAGGGGGAGGGGAGGTTAATGTTTTTGATTAAAGATTTCAAGTGCAAATGAATCAAAAAAATTAGAATTCCCAATTTTGCTTTCATGGTGACTTTAAGTGGATTGTATCTTGTTCTTGTCATGAAACAGTGTTTGTCCCTGATATATACTGTAAAGTGTGAATGGAGGTAGTTTTGTAAATTCTTCTTAATGTTGTCTGTGGGATGCAAGCAAATCTGAAAATTTTAGTATGTTCTGTTTCCTTGGTAATGTCTGTAGGTGTTAGAATAAGAGGATGTGGTTCAGATGCACATGCTTGTCTTAAACATCCAGGGTTGTTGTGGGAGTTGTGCTATTAAGAGTACCTATTTCTATACATAGGGTGGAAGTGTCGCTGGAGAAGCCGGAGTGGAGGAAAACAAGACTGCCAGCAGTGAGGTAGAGGAGGATGAAAGAGAAAAAGCGTACCGGTTTACACCGGAAATAGCGGTGGATCTTCAGCAGCGGTCTGGCCATGATGGGCTCTCGAGCCACACGCATTGGCCTTCGATGTTACACAGGAACATATAAAATCAGAGACAGCACCTTCCTATAACTTCCATTGTCCTACGAGTCCCTTTGAAACACTAAAACGATTCCCAAACCAGGAAACAGTAGTTGTAATGATGACAGTACTGACGCTTAACACAGTTTGTCCATCTGTTAGGGACTTTAAAGTCTGAAGACACTTCCAAAGCTTTCCTCTGTAGCAGTATGCAGGAATGTGTCCGTGTGTCCCGTGTCTTTCTACATCCCCAAAGAGGCAGCGACAGAGGAGAACAGTGCTACCGCAGAGGCCATGTTGTGAAAGACGAGTGGCAGTGAAGACTGAAAGATGATACTGCTGTGGCGACGCTTTCAGTCCTGTTATCAGACTCTCGCTCTCCTGAGGTCTTGTTTCCCACCAAGCTCTCCGTCAATCAAAAGCAGCGCTGATTCACTCCTTACTCAGGCCTCACTCACAGACTGAAAAACACAAAATGACAGATACTGAACAAGAAGTAAATACTGATGAGGTCTCTGTGCAAAGAAAAATACTTTATCTGAAAGCGAGTAAGTTAAAATTCAATAACAGGCTGCAGACGCATTATTCATGACCATCTAAACCATCAAACACAGAAGTAAGAACCTTTTGAGCAATTGGCTTTGTAGAAATTTGCCAACAAGAGACTGTACCAATTTATGCAACAGCTACACTGAAGACAGAGGATGGTCACATTTTATATCCAAAAGTTGTTCAGCTTGAGGACTTTTGTCTTTTCACAGATATCCCCAAAGGCAAGGCTCCTATTTATAATTAAAACGCCCATCTTGTGATTTAATGAACATCTTTAGGACATTAAAAGAGTAATTTAATTTAAAATGGATTTGTTCTTCTGCTGATCTTTTATTTTCTCATAACAATCATTACATCAACACTGCATCACTCAGAGATACACAGTGCCAAAAACTCATTAATTTGCTTCAAAGAATGAAATGACCAAAAAAAGTGTTTCGCGGCAGAGGAAATGGAAATAAATCTGTCATAATGATATTGTCACAATGTTACTTCCTAGCATAGCAAAAATGAAACGACTTTACAACCACAGCAAATATAATTTTCTAAATGAGTAGTTTTGTCTCATTTTCCAGTAAAAATATCTAAACAATTTTTAAAACAAGAATAATTCACTTTAGGAAAAAACTGCATATTAAGACTATATGCAGAGAATATACCTTGAAGTCTTTTTCACGCCCAATTAAAACCTTGAAAACATCCAAGCATCCTTAAAACAATTTATATGAGAAGGGGAAAAAAGTCACAGGCCCCTCCCATGACTGTTGACGGACACTGCTGTTTTAGCATAGACCCTCCCTGAGTGAGCTGTAAACAGTCCACCATTGTTTCGACGCCAGAGCAGGTGTAGACATGAATGTCTCCCAAGCGATTGAGGTGTTTTGTTGTTGTATGTAAGAATGAACATAGCAGTCATCATTTACTCCCGACATCTGAACTGCTAAAGACGCAGTGGATTACTTTTGTTTTTGAAGGGAATGCGTTTATGTCTGCGCAAATCATTTTACTGCAGACTGCTTTCCGAACGAGGGACGATTCAAGGCAGGTTTTGCTTCGTTCGTGATCCAGCTGCACCTCCAGAAGAAGTAGGTCTCACACTTTATATTTTTTTATGATTATTTGCAAATCGCTTTTCCTCTTCCACGGAAGAGAGGGGCGGGGGTGAGCAGAGCTCAATTAGCATTTAAAGAGACATGCACCAAAACGGGTCGCTGTGTACAGAGCTGTTTTGACAAGGTAAAAAGGTTGCTGTTTTATACGACCACTGAGGAATTTTAACCAAAGTATGTTGCAGACAGTTCATGAAGACCCTAAAGAATCATACCAACTTTTGGAAAATGGGCATCCGATGTCCCCTTTAAGGTTCGAGGTTCAAAGTTTATTATAAGCCCAAAGGGTGATTATTGGTGCATAAAATTTTTAAACATATCATACAAAACACACAAACAGCAAAAAGACAGGATGTGTACATTTAATGTGTACATTTGTGAATTTTGTAAAATATCTATCTTTGAGTTAAAAGAATTTACTTTCGAAACAAAACTGTGTTAGATATTAAGACATGTATTCAGAGAATAGATCTTGAATACAAGTTTATTTTTCAAATCCAATTGAACCTTCGCAAAGACCTACCCCCGTTATTTACTGTTGCTATGTCCGACAAGCCATATATCATCACGCAGTGAAAAATACATCATGGAGCAAAGAGGACACTAACAATGTGCCGATAGACAAGACAGAGCAGGTTACTTTTGGTATGAAACAAAGTATCAGCTTTCAAATTTTGTCATTTGTAAGAAATTCAAACAATAAATACTGTTTTGTGCCTCTTTAATGCGTCGTGCAGATTCAAGCAGCATGTGAACCGATCTCTTCCTAATAGTTACAGCACGAAATAAACATGGATGAATATCAGAAAGTATGTTGTCTCAACTGCGGAAAGATGTCAATACACCATTTTCAAGTTCAACTCTACTGACGTTAATCTACTAACTCTCCTGTCTGGTTTGTTTGTTGGATAAAATGGCGATCACCTGTCAATCAAACCCTTGCGAACGGTCAATTGGAGCATAAATTAAATTTTAATCAAAACAGTAAGGTTTGTATTTAAAAATAGAAATAATATTCAACTTAATTTAAAAATATGTTGTCAGAAAGCATTTTTAAAGTCTTATTACCTTAAGCTCGGCTCACACTGTGCGATTTTGGCCACGATTTGGTCGTCTGAGACAAATTTTGAAAATCCTAAAAGATTCCTATAATCCTAGGCTAAAATCTGTAGTCTTTGATCATTAGTTTGACATGTTCACTGACAGCCGATTAATGGCCGTTGTGATCAAATTTTACCTCCGACGAACTTCTGGCAGTGTCAGAAGATTTGGCGCACAGTCCTGCAGTGTAACATCTCCTACGACGAACATCAAACTGTCTTCGTTTTTCAAGACAAGCCATGATCAGAATTAATGCTAGAGATTTCTTCTAACCGCATAAACTCCGGCGCTCTCGTCCTCCACTCACGGAATTCATATGATTCTTTGCCTTTGCTATGATTTGCTGTTTTCATGTGGGTGTGTAGTGCTGCTTGCACTATTCTTCTTAAATACGCCGGTACTGCCGCCATTCATATACTTTTAATGATAGCCAACATAACATGACCCGTTTTTAACGCGTCTTGACTGTCGTACAGTCTGACATTAATGACAACTGAGATCCCACAGTGTGACATGATCATCATGTTCGTACAGTCTGACAAGTACAATCCTAAAGGACTTTAAAAAAAAAATAAAAAAATCGCACTGTGTGTGAGCAGTGTGAGCCCGGCTTTACACAATTTTGCTTCTTGAGTAAAGTAAGTTTTAGGGATGTTTAGATATTTTCACTCAACAAAAACGATCATTAAAACTGATTTTTGCAGTGAACAAACTGTAAAGCTAGACAGGATGGAAGTAGTCCATTCCCATTCTCTCAAAGACCCCAGTATCCACAGTGGGCAAAAACATTCAGGCAGAGTGTTTAAACAAGGAGTCATAATCAGCCTCCTTCCGAGGGTAACGGAATTTTCCGTAGCTAACATCTCGCTATAGACTTAACGTGAGCGTGCATGTGAGTGTGTGTGTGTGTGTATGTGTGTGTGTGTGTTTGGGTATACAACGACCCAATGTCACCGTTACCTGACCCCTGGGCTCCCACCTGCCGCAGTCAGAGCGGAGTCAGGCTGATGTTATCGTGACAACTTTCTAAACCAGCAGCACACAGACTTCATTCAGAGCAGATATAGCTCAGTTCCTATAGAGAGGGGAGAAGAGGAGGGAAAGAGAGGGAAAATTAATTTAAATTCATGTTGCACACCAGCGTGTCAAGGATTTCACTTAGTGTAGTCACTTTTATTTGCCTTAGGCACATGTTTTTTAACTCTGTAGACCCAGGCCTTTAAAAGGGCTTGTAAATGTGTATGTGTGTGCAAATGTGTTTTCTGCGGTAAAACTCATAGACTTGTGCTTGGAGACATATGGGCGTCTGTTGGTGTGAAAGATCATTTGTGACCCTGGACCACAAAACCAGTCTTAAGTCGCTTGGGTATATTTTTAGCAATAGCCAAAAAAACATTGTATGGGTCAAAATTATCAATTTTTCTTTTATGCCAAAAATCATTAGGATATTAAGTAAAGATCATGTTCCATGAAGATATTTTGTACATTTCCTACTGTAAATATATCAAAACTTAATTTTTGATTAGTAATATGCATTGCTAAGAACTTAATTTGGACAACTTTAAAGGCGATTTTCTCAGTATTTAGATTTTTTTGCACCCTCAGATTCCAGATTTTCAAATAGTTGTATCCCGACCAAATATTGTCCTATCCTAACAAACCATACATCAATGGAAATCTTATTTATTCAGCTTTCAGATGATGTATAAATCTCAATTTCGAAAAATTGACCCTTATGACTGGTTTTGTGGTCCAGGGTCAAAAAAAAAAAAATAGATCTACAAAAACTAAATGTACAATTAAAAGCATAAAGATCCACAGTTAAAATATATGAATGTAATTGCAGTTCCATTTATTTTATTTTAAAAAATAAAGTCAAGCACACCTTTATACTTCACAAACAGTTAGGTTTTACTGTAAATTATAATTTAAAAAATATTGTACTGTAAAAATAGTTGATTGTCTGTCAGACATTAATGGAACATATTTAATCCTTTATATTAACACAGATCTCTGCACACTTCTTTAATAATTTAGAGGACATTCTTAGTGAAGCAGGATACTGAAATGGAAAAAAAAAGTGGTTTGACCTCTACTTTGATTAGACAGGTCTGATGGATTTTTTTTTCACATTCACACCAGATATGACTGAAAATGTTCACTTAAAGAGAATTCATCTTGGTTGCTTGAGTTAAGGGCTATGACCTCAGGTTAGAGTCCACAGGCTTTTCCATAAATACACACTCCATTACTGCTAACCAAGCCACTGAGCATCAGCATACAGAGAGCTACAGTGCCATTACAGACCCTTCCTGCACATGCCCCATTGTAAATAAAAAATACCACCGCTCCTGTGGGACCACCCACACTGTCACTGTACCGTTGGCTCTGAGGTCAGGTGTGGGGAAAATCCATGGACATCTTTTCACACTTTCCACCCAAGCGGTTCACAAGTTGAGGACTTGTATTTTAAGGTTTGTTTTCAAATGCTGAACTGTCGAAATATATCGAAATTGCAGTGGAAATAAACAACTAAAATAAAGTCATAAAAAAAACAACTAATCATCATAGACTACAGACGCTAATTTTTCTGCCTGACAGACGGGTAATTTAGTTTTTAGGTTTTTGTTGTAGCAGAGGTTAAAAAAAAAAACATTTGCAAACAATGTGATGTAAGACAGCCATGACAAAACTAGTAGCCTGCTGCAGAAAAAAAACCCTACGGTTTGAACTACTGAAAAATGTAGATAAGTTAGCGTCATTATCTTTAGTTACTCTGATAAAACACAATTTCAGACCAGTGAGTTGTTTAAATTCCTTTACTTTCTGGATTCAAGCATTGGCTAGTGCAGTGTAGCCTCAGAACTCCCTTGTTTCCCCATCTGACTGATTGAGCAATAGAAGTAACAGAGGCTCTGAGGTCAGGTGGGGAAAGTCCATGGACGTCTTTTCACACTCTCCACCCAAATGGTTCACACGATGAGGACTTACATTTTGAGGATTGTTTTCACATGCTGAACTGTCGAAATATATCAGAAACAAACTATAGCCCATTTTGTGTAAAAAATTTTTTTTTTTTAAATCCACCCCAAAATCACAAAGACAAACATTCACAGTAAATTAAAAAACACTTTCTTGAGTGAAACAAAATTTTGATAATAAAGCAACAACAATGTGTCAGTTTCAGCAAATGTTTCCCATCATAAATGATGTAAGTGATTTTCTCCACATGTGATTGTGGTTTGGCCACAATTATGATTCTGTAAAGCATTCCAATTTAACAAGTTGCCAAGAGATGTGATTCTTTTGGTGTTACAGGAAAGTGGAAAGTATTTTGGTTTGCAATGCTACCTTCCTTTAATTGGCTATTTGAATATGAAGTTTATTAGGCTATTACATTGACTTGAATGCACACACGTGCTGCTTACCATTCAAACCAGACTTACAGCAGGGCTCAACGATAAGAACTGCCCGATGGCCTGGGGCCAGAATGAAAGACGTGTCATGTCTCAGACAGTGTGAGAGCCCCGAATGGAGTTCTCTTTCGTATCTTCTTGTGATTGAATGGACAAATACATACAAAATTAAGATAAAATGCCACTCTTGGTGAGTATCCTCGAAAGCAGTAGGTTATGTCTTAAAGGGGTCCTATTATGCTTTTTCACTTTTTCAAATTTAGTTAGTCTGTAATGTTGTTGTTTGAGCATAAAAAAGATCCGCAAAGCTACAAAGCTCAAAGTCCACTTCAAAAGGAGATATTTTATTTAACAGAAATTACTTTTCAAAAACTACAACGAATGACTCGTTTGGACTACAACGAACGACTCGTTTGGACTACAACGCATATTTTCCGGGATTTGTGATATCACAAATATCGACGAATGGGACGAGACCTGGTTGAGCTGCACTAGAGAAAGCAACGAGTGTTATCACTATGTCGGAGACACGCTAGCTTTCCCAAGGCAGACGAACTTAGAGTGTTTACAATCATCCGGGTTTAA